TGGTTTCTATTTGAACCAACCTCTCTCTCTCTCTCTCTCTCTCTCTATATATATATATATATATATATATATATATATATATAGGAGGGGGAGGGAGGGAGGGAGGGAGAGACCAGCACTACCGTTCCTACTTCACCTTCCACCACAAATTTTTGCCCTCGTCAAGCCAATTAGCTCCCCACTAGCAATTGACACCTAGCCTTTCTACACCATAAGCAGCACTGCCAGCAAGTGATGAAACCACCAAATCTTGCATTTAGTTGCTGCAAAATAGTAACACTTGTATTTTATTTAAGGTAATTTCGGGATTTAACAATTAGTTTTGATAAATAGTGGTTAGTTGTGATATTTGGTCTTAGAATGTTTTAGTTTGAAGTGAAATCAAAATCAGGTGAAATGGGGACACTCTAGGGTCTGGACGATTTCTTGGGCAACGTAATCTATAGGAAAAGTCACCCAAGCCACTTGAGCAAAAAACCATCGGGGAACATTCGTCAAGGATCGATCGGGCGACCTAAGCCGTATGGCTAGGCTCCCAAGGGAGTTGGACATGTGACATTTTGGTGCAACTTATGTCACCCTACAACTAGCCTTGCATGTCCAGTTCGGTTTTAAACTTGATTTTTCTAGGGGTTTTTTTTCCTATTCTCCTCCTCTTCTTCATTTTCTCTCTTCTATGGCGATCTTGTCCATGTAGGGTCAATTTTTAAGAAGTTTTAGGAGCAAATGGAAAGTGGATGTTAAGGATTGAAGGCCTATGGAGGGAGATTCCAAGATTTGAGAAGGGAAGCTTCTTTTGGGTATTTTGAGTTCGATGTTTGGAATTCTTTTTGTGGATTTGAAGTTTGTGTAAATATTTAATGTCTCTTGGTTTGACCGTTGTTCTTGTGGAGCTTAACTTGTGGAACTCGAATATTTGTTGTGGAAGCTAAAAATTTGGGTTTGGAATCTAGGTTTAACCTAACATAGCAAGGTGAGTTTGTTTTGTGAAAACTTTATAAATGCCAAAAATGTTTATTTTGGAGTTTTAAAGTGTTTTTTTTTTTAAGATTTATCAAACGTTATTGGTTATTTGATGAGATTGCATATCTTGCACATTTGGGTTTATAAAAATCTTGAGAAACACATATATTTGGGGTTTTTGGACATTTTGATAATAAATCATAAAGTGTATTGCTTTTGATGATTTATTTTCACATATGGATACACTACTAGAAAACTGGGCATTTCCAGCGAACGCTTTCCGCCGGTATTTTTCCGGCGGATTTCCGGTGGAAGTTAAAAATGTCAACTTTTATTGACTTCCGCCGGAAATCCGCCGGAAAAATTAAACCGGTTATATTATCGGCGGATTTCTTAATTAAGGGTTAATTAATATTTAAAAATTAATTAATATTTGAAAAAAAAAATTAAAAAGATTTTTCCAGCGGATTTCCGGCGGAAAATTTAAAAAAAAAATTAAAAAAATAAATTCGCCGGAAATAGTTTTAGAAAAATAATTTTTAAAAAATAAAAAAAAAAACCCTTTTAATATTTTCCGACGGATTTCCGGCGGAAAATTTAAAAAAAAATAAAAAAAATAAATCCGCCGGAAATAGTTTTAGAAAAAAAAAATTTTAAATCTTTTAATTTTTTCCGGCGGATAATTAAAAAGAATAATCCGCCGGAAATAGTTTTAGAAATAAAAAATCCAAAATATTTTATTTTTTTCCGGCGGATTTCCGGCGGAAAATTAAAAAAAATTAAAAAGAATAAATCCGCCGGAAATAGTTTTAGAAAAAAAATTTAAAAAAATCTAAAATAAATCTCTTAATTTTTTCCGGCGGATTTCCGGCGGGAAAATAATGATTTTTTAAAAAAATAAATCCGCCGAAAATATGTTTAAAAAATTTGTTTTTAAGAAAGTAAAAAAACTTCTAACTTTTTCCGGCGGATATCCGGAGGAGAAATAATAAAAAAATTTAAAAAATAAAGAAAAATCTTTTTTTAAAATTAAAATACATTAATGGTCTGTAGTGAAAACAAAGTCAAGAGGAGTCTATGACTTAGCATCGAGTACCCCTAAAGTCCGGTCGGATTGAAAATATAGACGATGAACAATTTTTCCAGTAAAATGAACAAATAACCCAACATGAGGGAAACGAAGAGGTTCAAGAACCAATCCAGCTTGTCACAGGGGAAGACGACATCAAAGTTGCCAACGATCGTCGTGACAACTGGCATGTTGATGAGAGTAGTGACGAAGAAGAGGAATTCCAATACTCGGATAGTGACTCTGAGGACGAAGAACTTGACTTGTCTGATCACTCATCA